AGTAGAACTGTTTCAGCAGCTCCTGTGGCAGGTTGAACTTCCTCAGCTGGCGGAGGAAATACAGCCTCTGCTGGGCTTTTTTCACAATAGAGTCAATTGTGTAATTGCCCCACTTCAGGTCCTGAGAGATGGTGTTGCCCAGGAACCTGAATGACTCCACTGCAGTCACAGTGCTGTTCATGATGGTGAGTTAAATACATATAAATACAATAATACAAATAAAATATTCCGTACAGTTATTATTATTATTACTACTACTACTATTATTATTATTATTATTAATGAAGTAATGGAAAAATTATATTATTAACAACAACACTTTACATGCATACAAATAATATTATTGTTAATGATATAATTACATAAATAATTATCTAATTAAATATTATTAGTATTATTATTATTGAATTATTAAATATTATTAAATTATAAGTATGCTAATAATATAAAATTAAAGCAAAATAATATATATTTTGCTTACAACATTACATGCTTATTATTAATATTATTATAAATACAATAATTCTAAATAAAATAAAAAATAAAAAAATTCCACTCATTGTATGAAGGGGTCCCTGGGAAGGCATTATTTAGATTAATAATAACTATTTCATCGTCTTGTGGCAAAAATGTAAAACATATGTGAATATACTTTAAGAACTAAAAGACACACCACAAAGTGACCCACTCAGAGCTCTTTCGGCAAATTAGGACAGATATGATCATGAAGACACAGGGCAGAATATATGTAAATAAATTCACACAGTCATGAGCGCAACACCCTGCAAACTATTCTGCGAAACAGTGTGATGTTATTAATTTTCTATTTCACTGATGGCCATTCCGCCGATTAAAATGCAGATTCCAAACTCTTGGTACACAGAATAATAAACTAGTCTGAATAACTACAGCGGAGTCTTTGATGTACACTATAAAAGTGTTGAAAAAAATCTCTCTCACTCTCACTTTCAGTTTACATTTGTATTGCCGAAGCAGTTGCAGCTTAGCAGGGGACAATTCCTCCTCACTCTCTCTCTCTCTCTCTGTCTGCGCCTGAGGGGTAAAAGATGACAGCACAGCCCATTTTTTCCATTATACTATAAAAGTCTACCTAAGCAAACACTCTCGGGAGCCCTTCATTTCCGAAGTAAGCAATCCCACACTCTTGCACACTGACACACACTGACACAAGTGAGCATTTCATCTCAGGAGTTCGGTGTCAAACTCAGCTTTTTATTGCAGTGCTAAATTTATACATTTATATAAAGAAGTTTAGGGTGCTCTAACATAAACATGAAAGTCACAGTTTTTGTTCTTTAGGTTCAAAAGAGCAGCTGACACTTAGCGCAGCCAAAAAAAAAGCTAAAAAGCTTTAATTTAGGCTAATTAGCTGTTGATGAACTTCTCACACGATCATTCTGTAACAAACAGAAACAGAAATGATTGCCAGTGTTTTGTGGAACTCTATATTGATAGAGATTCATATACTCTATATGAAAAGCGAGATGTGCTCTGATTGGCCAGCTATCCAGTGCGTTGTGATTGGCCGAATACCTCAAGCGTGTGACGGAAATGTTACGCTCCTTACCATACTGTGATGCCGTGTTCCGGCGTGACGAGACAAAACCAATATAACCCATTACAAACGAGGTATTTGTTGCATCCAGTGGTGACATAATTACTGATTATAATGACTTAGACATGGTGGCGGTGGTAACAATACTACAGCGAGAATCAAAATCCCGCCATCTTTCTTTGCGTGAACATTTTGGCGGTGTTATGCAAATCTTCCCACACAGTGACGTAGTTACGGTGTGGAAATTACAATGGAAGTGATTGGGGTCAATTTTGAAGAGTTAAAAAAGCAGAAATGCAAAGCTTATAATTTAATAAAAGCACTTACATTAATTATCTTTTTTTAAACTTATATTATTCAAGCTGTAAAGCTTTTTCAATTGTCATTTTTACAATTTTAGGGTTTGTGGTGCTATTTGTTCATAGCAAAAAAAACAAAGACAAAAAAAAACCCTAATATATTGTAATATATATATATATATATATATATATATATA